AATCAAAAGACATAGGCTAGCCCTGCCAGGTGGCTCAGTTGGTTGGAACGTCATTCAGTGCACCAAAAGGTTCCAGGTTCAATTCCTGGTCAGGGCACATCCTGGGTTGTGGGTTCGATTCCTGGTCAGGGCGTGTGCTAGAGGCAACCAACTAATGTTTCTCTCCCCCACACCCCCCACTTCCTCTCTCTCTAAAACATCAGTAGAAACATATCCTTGGATGCGGATTACGAAAAAAAAGGGCAAAGGGTTGCTACTAGTAAATGGAAAAGAAAACAACACCCATATATATGCTGTCTACAAGAGACCCACTTAAGAATGAAAGACACACACAAACTGAAAGTAATGGTATGGACAGACAAAATACAACAAAGGATACAATAGACAAAGAAGAACATTACATAATGATAAAGGGATCAATCCAACAAGGGGATATAACTTTTATAAATATTTATGCATCCAACATAGGAGCACCTAAATATATAAAGCAATCTTGATGGACACGAAGGAAGAGAGAGACAGTAATACCGTCATAGTAGGGGATTTTAACACTCCATTGACATCAATGGATAGATCTTCCAGACAGATCAAAAAGGAAATAGCAGTCTTAAATGACACACTGGACCGGATGGATTTAATTGAAATTTTCAGAGCAATTTACCCCAAACAAAATTGAAACAGACTCATAGACACAGAGAACAGACTGATGGTTGCTAGAGGGGAGAGGGGTTGAGGAGCTGGATGAAAAAAGTGAAGGGATTAAGAAATACAAATTGGTAGTTACAAACAATCACAGGGACATAAGGTACAGCATAGAGAATATAGTCAATGGTACTGAAGTGACTATGTGTGGTGCCAGGTGGGTGCTGGAAGTGTTGGGGAACACACTGTGGAGTGTATGATTGCCTAGCCACTGTGCTGTGTGCCTGAAAGAAATGCAAAATAATACTGAATGTAAACTGTAACTGAAAAATAAAATTTATAAAAGAATCTCTGCAAAAAGACGCTTTTAAGAAAAAAAAAAAGCCATAAATTGGGAGAAAATATTTGCAAAACATATATATGTTAAAGGACCTGCATCCAAAATACTTGATTTAATATTGTTAAAACTCAACAATAAGACAAAAGACCCAATTTAAAAATGGATAATATAGGGGGGGAGAAATGGTGATGGAAAAAATAAAACAAAATAAGTGGGCAAAAGATCTGAAGAGATATCTCACTAAAGATATGCAGATGACATGCAGAGGAAAAGATATTCAACATCATGTCATTAGAGGGTTACAAATTAAACAATGAGACACCATACACATCTACTTGAACGGCCACAATCCAGGACACTGCCAACATCAAATGCTGAGGAGGATATGGAGCAATAAGAAAACTCATTCACTGCTGGTGGGAATGCAAAAAAGTAAGTCACTTTGGAAGAAAGTTTGGCAGTTTCTTATAAAACTAAACATACTCTTACCATACAATCCAGCAATTACACTCCTTGGTATTTACTCAAATGAATTGAAAACTTATATCCACACAAAATCTGCACACAAATATTTATAGCAGCTTTATTCATAATTGCCAAAACTTGGAACAACCAAGATATCCTTGAGTAGGTGAATAGATAATAACCATGGAATGTTATTCAGTGCTAAAAAGAAATGAGCTATCAAGCTATGAAAAGGCATGGAGGAACCTTAAATACTCATTACAAAACTAGAGGCCTGGTGCACAAAAATCTGTGCACTCGGGAGGGTCCCTCAGACCGGCCTGTGCCCTCTCACAGTCTGGGACCCCTCGGGGAATGACCACCTGCTGGCTTAGGCCCGCTCCCTGAGGGATTAGGCCTAAGCTGGCAGTCAGACATCCCTCTGGCAGCCCAGGAGCCCTTGGGGGATGTCCACTTGCCAGCGGGGAGCAGTCCTAGCTGCAGTCGGACATCGTTAGCGCTGGTGAGGAGGCGGGAGAGGCTCCCGCCACCACCGCTGTACTGGCAGCCGTCAGCCTGGCTTGTGGCTGAGCAGAGCTCCCCCTGTGGGAGCACACTGACCACCAGGGGGCAGCTCCTGCATTGAGCAGCTGCCCCCTGGTGGTCAATGTGTGTCATAGTGACAAGTGATTCCCAGTCATTCTGCTGTTAGGGTCAATTTGCATATTACCCTTTTATTATATAGGATAGAGGCCTGGTGCACGGGTGGGGGCCGGCTGGTTTTCCCTGAATGGTGTCTCGGATCAGGGTGGGGGGTCCCGCTGGGGTGCCTGGCCAGCCTGGGTGAGTGGCTGATGGCTGTTTGCAGGCTGGCCACAGCCCCTTCAGGGTGGGGGTCCCTGCTGGGGTGCTTGGCCAGCCTGGGTGAGGGGCTGATGGCTGTTTGCAGGCTGCTCACAGCCCCTTCAGGGTGGGGGTCCCCACTGGGGTGCCTGGCCAGTCTGGGTGAGGGGCTGATGGCTCTTTGCAGGTTGGCCAAGCCCCCCAGCAGGGACCCTCACCCCATGAGGGTGTGGCCATCCTGGGTGAGGGGCTGATGGCTGTTTGCAGGCTGACCACAGCCCCCAGCCACCCAAGCTCCCAGTGGAGGCTGGCTGGAAGCAGGTATCTGGGATTTATTTAGCTTCTATAATTGAAACTTTGTTGCCTTTTGTGGAGGCCACAGCCAGCCAGAGCAGGCGGGAAGCTTGGCTTCCTCCATCGCCGGGGCAACCAAGCCTCCTGCTTGCTCCAGCTCCATGGCTGCCGGCCACCATCTTGGTTGGGTTAATTTGCATATAGTCACTCTGATTGGCTGGTGAGCATGGCTTGGGCATAGCGAAAGTATGGTGAATTAGCATCTTTGTCTTTTATTAGTGTAGATGAAAGAAGCTAATCTGAAAAGGCTACATGATTACAACTATGACATTGTGGAAAAGCTGTAAAAAAACTATAGAGACAGAGAGAGATTAGTGGTTGTCAGGAGGGAGCCTGGGATCAATGGGTGGAGCACAGTGTATGTTTAGGGCAATAAAGCTATTCTGTAAGGCCCTAGCCGACTTGGCTCAGTGGATAGAGCATTGGCCTGGGGACTGAAGAGTCCTGGGTTTGATTCCGGTCAAGGGCACATGCCCTGGTTGCAGGCTCTATCCCCAGTAGGCGGCGTGCAGGAGGCAGCTGATCAGTGATTCTCATCATTGATGTTTCTATCTCTCTCTTCTCTCTCCCTCTCCCTTCCTCTCTGCAATTAATAAAAATATTTAAAAAAAAAAAAAAAAAAGCTATTCTGTATGTTGTTATGATGGGTACATGTCATTGTACATTTGTCAAACCCACAAAATATGCAACACTAAGAGTGAACCTTAAGGTAAACTATGGATCTTAGTTAATTAATATGTAACAATATTAGCTCATCAATTGTAGCAAATGTGCCACACTAAAGCAAGATATTAATCATAGGGAGATGGGAGAGGGGCAAGGGCTCTGCACTTCCACTCAAACCTAAAACTGCTCTAAAAAATAAAGTCCATTGTATGTTTTTTATACTTTTAAACCATTCATTTCATCAATCTTTCTTATAGAAGTAGGGAGATGAGGACCTGGAGAGCAGTCTTCCTATGACTTAATATGGGCAGTACTTTATATATCTTTATGCTATTGATTAGAATTATCAATTGAGATTCTCAACTGGCAACAAAATACACCACACTATATTAGCTAAACAAATATAACACTGAATAATTCAACAGTGGTGAAAACAACCAACTAGCCTGAAAGTGAAATATAAAAAGGCCTTTCAAGAAATTACTTTCAATCTATTATTGGTAAATATCCTCGAAATGGCTACTGAAAAAAGTAATAGAAAGGAGAAACGGCTTAAGAGGTAAAATTGTAGCTAACCTCAATAAATACCTAAAAATCATCTATTCCCTCTAATTTAAAAAGTACCTTCTCTTAATAGGAGGAAAGGAAAAGAAATAGTGAAACAGGGTTGGTAATAAAATGGAGTGGTCTTGCTTGGGGCACATAGTATAAATTTAATAAATATGTACTATCCTAACTTCACATAAGGTTCACATCTTGAATATAAGGTATAATCTACAGCCATTTACTTGATATCAAAACAGATATAATTTCCAGAAAAAATAAGAAAACATTCCTTTAATTCCCATTCAGAATCTAACAACTAGGCATATTATTAACTTTATGTCTAAGATTACAACTTTGTTAACTACTATAGATCTTTAAAAAAAAAAAAACTATTCAGGTATCACCTGAAATAAGTTCATAAATGGTTTCATAAATTCACAGAAAGCGGTATCTATATTATTTGGCACATAAATGGGAAAATATTTCTTTTTTTAAAAAAAATCAAAGAAACATTACCCAAAGAAGCATTATGTCACATTATTTTCTTAAAAAGTAACTCATTAAGAAGGTTTCTATAAAAACATATTTTACAAGTATGTGGGATGTGTTTGTTTCTCTACTGATACAAGAACTAACTTGAGAAAGAGCGTATTAACAAGTTCTGAAGAGAGAGGTAATTAGCATATTGGAAATTAACATTTTTGGCACATGGGACCTATAGCAAGAATGTCTATCCTCCAGTAATGAGTCATACACTAGGCTGCCTTTCTATATATTGTGAAGCAATCTTTCAGCAAAAGGAGCAGCAGGGAAGAATACAACATATGAATAATAATTTGGACAACTTCCCAGGAAGAAATCATAGTGAAGTTAGGTCTGAGAAAGTTAGATAGTATTTACTACAAATTACACTAACATTATCTTTTTTTAATCACTCTTACTCTTTAGTTAACAGCAGAGAGGAAGTTTTCCTTTCTTTAATAGAATTTAGTAATACAGAATAAAATTATATAAGTATTAACTTGGTTTTAATTTTTGTGAAAGTGAATTACCTAATGAATCATTCTAAATTATTTTATGATGACATTTATGAAAAGTTCACCTGTCACATACCCACCCCAGCACACACACACAATGACACCAGAAGGCAAACACTCTGCTTTACCTTCTGCTGAAAAGTCTGCAACCTCCAACGCTTGAGGTCCATACACGAAGCCCTCCTGGAATCTATGAACACAGCAGAGGCAAAAGGCAGAGAAGTTTATGTAGATTTAAAGTTACACTGCCCAAAACATAAAATGCCAAATGACTATCACAAGTCTACATATCTGCCAAGGAAATCAGATTTTAGCTTTGACAATGAGCAAATCAACAATATGTTGATAATTTTCAGAGTTCATTATATATTATGCAGCTAATTATATGGGGGAGGGGGGGAGTTGAGCCTTAACTAATTTATATTCTCACCAACAGAAGTGATTTACACTATGAGAAATGCTAACAGACCAACTATGTATAAATTCATATATGCTGAAAGTAACAATTTAATTTTTACAAGTATATGAAGGAGGTGATACATATATGAGAAATATAAAAGAAATTAAATGGAAAAATATACTTCACAAAATGAAAGTTACCTACAACTCAAGGTACATTCTTAGGACCCGAGAGTGTTGGGAATATAAGAGAAAAACAATTAGAAAAAGACCTGGAAATGGACAAAAGCAGAGGGGAAAAGGGAAAAGTAGAACTGTAAAGACAGTCTAATGCCAAGATTTAATTTAAGTCTGACAATACTGTTGAAATGAGCAAGGTATACTACATATGCTGAGCAGTATAAGGAAAATCTACCTTGTCCCAATATTATAAAATACATATAAGTATGAAACTTGAAAAGCTTTTCAGGACACATTCATGTAAAAAATGAAGGATTTAATCAGGTAAAATATTTAGATTTCTGATTTCATCTCTTTGTTTTCTGATGACAGAAATAAAAGGTTACAAAATACAGCTGGTATATAAGAAAAGAAATCAGATAATTTTTAGTAGCTCTTAAATTTAAGAGGGGCAGATAATCTTTATGTAATATTTAGAAATCCTTGAAAATATCATCAAATTAGGAAAGAAGGAGCAAAGCATTATCTTAGCACATGATGGTATGTCAAGAAAGAAATATACTATTATTAAACATTGGCCCCAAAGTCAGGTGGCTTGAGTTCAAGTTCCAGCTAAATCACCTAATAGCTGTGTGACATCAGGCACGTCTCTTAACCTCTCATTACAACCAGAAGTTGTTCAATGAGAACTTCATCATCTCTCAGATTTATACTGAATAGCAAATAAAAAAAGGTATTAAAAATCACAGAATGTTATATTTTGCAAAAATTTAAATCAGTGCATTTGACTTAAATTAACAATTTGAAAGTTAACTAAGAAATAGAGGAAATACAGAGTGCCAGGCTAAGGAATTTGGGTTACTGTGTAGGCGAGGAAGCTCAAGAAGCAAAGCAAAAAGGCAGTTTACCAAAAGAGCCTAGAGTTGTCATCAGAGCTAAATGGCAACCAGCTCTTTAGAGATGTTTTTATCATATTACTAATTTAGCAATTTTCCCAGCACTATCTATCTCAAATGAGCCTACAATTTGGTCCCAGCTTCCGGGAAATCATCTCAACTACCATCCAGGCCTCTTTTCTGGGGTGTCCTTCACCCCACTCATCCAAGTAGTCATTGAATCCTATCTTTCTCCTAAATATTCCTTGAACTTTTCATCCTAGCCTTCCTCCTTTTCTACTCCCACAGCTGCCGCTAAGAAACAGGTCCTCCACTTCTCACCTGGACCTCTCCAATAGCCTTCCTGCTTCCATTCTCACCCTCCTCTTGTCCTCTTCACTACCCACAATGCTGCAAAACTGATTATGACAGTCCCCTCTATGAGGCTACACACCAAACTGTTAGCAGTGGTTATTTCTGTTATGTGCTCCTTTTACATTAAAAAAAAAAAGTTTATTATTTCCACTTTACGAACTATTGGGACTCCATTCCATTTAGAATCTGTTACTATACTCCACTTCCCCATCAGATTACAGTCCAAATTCTTTAGCCAGGCATGCAATGATCATACTCAGTCTTTCTCAAATGTACTGCCAACCTCCACCTTAACTACTTACTCTATCCATCCTGAATTACTTGCTGTGCATTTCTTTATATCATAATTTTATACATTTTGTTTCCCTTGTGTAGAACAGAGATACACCTTGAGTCTGTCCCTAATAATTAACCTGCCTTCCACTAATAGTTATAGTAAGTCATTAATCTAAGAAGAATAAAGAATAAATATACACCAGTTCTTCTTTTTGTTCAAATTTATAAGATAAAGTTTATTTAAAAAGTTACAGAGGTAGTAGAAGTGAGCCAACTGGGCTGCATGGGCCCAGGAAACAAGTTATAGAAACAAAAGAAGGGCCCTTGGAGTTTAGGAAAGAGAAAGGCAAAGGCAATGTGTAGGGGTGGGGGGAGGAGGAAAGGTGCACCAAAATACCTCATCTTGCAGTATGCCACTGTAACCTATAGTCCCACAGTTATACCAACAAACTAAATTTTTTCCTCCTAATCAAGGAAACTGATGCTTTTAAAAGGATAAAATTAAAAAAAAAAAAAGGATAAAATAAGTTGATGCTTTGCATCCTTTGCCTAAGGGATGATATGGCAGGAGGCAAAATGCAAAGTGCTAAATTTGGGAAGGAGATGGAAGAGTAGAGGAAAATAGGGCAAGGACCCTGGATAAATTTACAGCACAACTTGTCACAGAGTGGAATAGTTTAGTCTGAAGTGTTATAAATCTTTTTATCAAGTAAAAGCATAATTAAGTTAACTTTGAAAATAGTAAGAATGTCTATGCTATTTTCCCTCCTTTTAGTATAAAAATCCAGAAGTTGGCCACTTTAAAAGCACATAATTGGCTTTACCTTCCTTTAGTTTTTTTCTACTATGTAAAAAGAACAATCCAATGTAAATTATAGACTATATGCAACTTAATGAGATCTCTTTTTTATTATGAATCATACATAACTCTATTTCATCCTATCTAATAATAGACAAACATGGTAATTAACCGTACCTCCAACACGCTTCCCATTGGCTAATCAGGGCGATATGCAAATTAACTGCCAAACAAGATGGCGGCCGGCAGCCAGGCAGCTGAAGCGAACAGGAGGCTTGCTTGCTCCAGTGAAGGAGGAGGCCAAGGTTCCCCGCCTGCCTCTGCTGGGCTCTGAGCTTGCACTCTAAGAAACAATGTTGCAAATATAGAAGCTAAACAAACCCCATGCTTTCAGCCAGCCGGCGGACCTGGAGTTGCAACAGTGTTTCAATTATAGAAGCCAAACAAACCAGATACCTGCTTTCAGCAGCCGAGATCTCAGAGCTGGAGCCGAGCCTTAGAGCTAAAGCCAGCTCTCAGTTCCAGTGACAGCCATAAGAGGTAAATAAATCCCAGAATTAAAAAGAAAAAGAAAAAAAGGAGAGATTGGGAGCTTCAGTTGCCCGCCAGCCTGAAAACGGCCCTCAGCCCCTCACCCAGAAAGGCCAGGCACCCCAGTGGGGACCCCCACCCTGAAGGGGGTGTGACCAGCTGCTAACAGCCATCATCCCCTCATCCAGGCTGGCCAGCCACCCCAGTGGGAACCCCCACCCTGATCCGGGACACCCTTCAAGGCAAACCAGCCGGCCCCCACCCGTGCACCAGGCCTCTATCCTTTATAGTAAAAGGGTAATATGCCTCCCAGCACCGGGATCAGCGGAGCCGCAAGGCCTCCCGAACCTGGGATCAGGAGAGCCACGAGGCCTCACGCCCTGGGATCAGCGGAGCCGCGAGGCCTCCCGGCACTGAGATCAGTGGAGCTGTGAGGCCTCCTGGCCCCTGGAGCAGCGTGACAGGGGGCAGCGCCCAAACCTCCGATCGCCCTGGAGCTCTGTGTGTGACGGGGGCTGGGCCACAACCTCCCTATCCGCCCTGCTCTGTTCATGACAGGGGAAGGCGCCCCAACCCCCTGATCGGCCCTGCTCTGTGCCTGATAGGGGGGAGCTCCCCAAACCCCTGATCGACCCTGCTGTGTGTGTGACGGTGCGGCGCCCCAACCCCCGCATGGGCCCTGCTCTGTGTGTGACAGGGTGAAGCCCAACTTCCCCATCGGCCCTGCCCTGAATGTGACAGGGGGGAGTGCCCCAACCCCCTGATCCGCCCTGCTGTGTGTGTGACAGGGGGCGGTGCCCCAACTCCCCTATCGGCCCTACTCCGCATGACAGAGATCCCCAACCCCCTGATAGGCCCTGCTCTGTGTGTGACAGGGTACGAAGCCCCAACCCCCCTGATGGGCCCTGCTCTGTGAGTGATAGGGGGCAGCTCCCCATTCCCCTGATCTGCCCTGCTCTGTGCGAGACAGGGGGTGGCGCCCCAACCCCCCAATCGGCCCTACCCTGAACGTGACTGGGGGTGGCATCGCAACCTCCCGATCCACCCTGCCCTCTGCCACCCAGGAGCGGGCCTAAGCCAGCAGGTCATTATATCCCGAGGGGTCCCAGACTGTGAGAGGGCACAAGTGGGGCTGAGGGACCAAGTCCCCCCCCCCGCCAGTGCACAAATTTTTGTGCACCGGGCCTCTAGTATCATATAAAACACAGAAATATAACCCAGCCCAGCTGGCGTGGCTCAGTGGTTGAGTGTCAATTCAATCTATAATCCAAAAAGTCATGGTTCAATTCCTGTTCAGGCAGCCGATCAATGATTTCCTCTCACATCATCTCATATCTCTCTTCTTTCTCTCTCTCTCTCTCTCTCTCTCTGTTTCTCTCTCTCTCCCTCCCTCCCTCCCCCTTCCTCTCTGAAATCAGTAAAAATATATTTTAAAAAAAAGAAATATAACCCAAATTTTTAAAAATATAAACCAAACACATGGGAAAAAAATCAAAACCACTCCTTTGTTGATTGTGTAATTGGGTCAAATGAAATAAGCAAACAGCATTACCAATCCAGACTTCTACCTACAGAAAAAAAATCAATAAAAATATAGTAAAAGAGGATGGGGATAAAGACAATTCAATACGTTACAATGATTGAGAAGCAAACCTAAGGATTTTCATACTTTTTTTGTGCTACATTATATAATCTTGGTTCCATTAAAAAAAAGAAAATTATAATGTTCTTTGCTGTAATAATGGTGTTATAGTT